TAATACCCGGGCTTGCCCAGGCATGCCTCGTGGTGCCTGTTCCCTGCTTCTCCCTCTGACTGGCTGAAGAGGCTGCAGAGAGGAGAGAGCTACCATTCATCCTTTCCTTCCCCGGCTCCTCCCCAGTTCCTCCCTCTTCGCCTAAGTCCCTATCCCTATTCGTTTTCCTGGTTCTCTGTTTCATGCTACACCCCGTTTTTTGGTGCATTCCACGCCAGAGCTTATAAAACCCTTGCTCACCCTCATTAAACGAGCATTGCACCTCAAACCTCGCTTGAACCCCTTTGTGCAGTGCCGCGGCCCTTCACCCCTCCCCCATGGACCGAAGCTGCTACAAATCTGATGGCCTTTGAAATAGGAAAATACTAAAAAAATCAAATAGAATTTAGGCACAGGAAGTCTTAAAAACTCATTATATGCCTAATATTTTTAATGTTTGCTACTTCCTTAAAAATATGTCTCTTAGTTCCTTCTAGGTTTAGAAGCTGAAGACTTAGAGTCTTAGATACAATATACCTAAACTAAACCAATTGACATGACTCTTACTATCTATGTGGGCAAAACCTGGATGTGTGTTGAGAGACAGGCAGAGATATAAGTACACTGTTGAAAGTGGTACCATAACCAGAACTTACAAGTATCCCATGCATCCAGCCACTACCAATAGAAAATAAGAATTTCTTTCATTACTATTTTTAATTATATTTACATAATGCTATCTGTGATAGTGCTAAGTGTGAGACATAGCCACAGTGGTCCAGTAGATATTACATTTCCTATTTGCCAAAAAACTTGCTACATACATTTAGTTTCCTATATACATAATAAAGAAATGTATTAGTCTACTTCATTATTCATGCCTTGTTAAACTGGTTAAAATATAATTTACAGCTTCACAGGAATAAAGGTAGTGACAAATGTTTCTCAGCCAATCGTGTACGACCATACTCAAAACACATATAAAGGCATTGATGACAAAATGTTACAGTAATGCAAAAATATACACATTGAAGCTCATATTCTCACCTGTTATGAAGCAGTATGTGTACATATATACATACACACATGCTTACACTGGGTGCAGGCATGATCAAAAATTCTATATCAAGATGGATTCCCTGATTATGATAGGAACAGAATATGTTTAAGCAGCAACATATTAAGCAAACAACTTGATCTGCATTAATTTGCAAAGTTATCACCCTTACCATAACTGAGTTGAGACTTGGCGTATTTCAAGCTATAATTAAATTAAAAGGCAACCAGCTGTTAACCAGTATTCCAGAAGCTGGCTTTAAAGCCCAAGGCTTCCAGCACTGTAATAAATAAGTAGTAGTAAAGTAATTTACTCATCAAATTAGTAGTAGTAAAGTAATTTACTCATTCAATTGTATTGCATGTTATATTCCTATATATATGTTATTGTAATCAATGTTCTGTTAAGGCTGGAGGACTGTAAGTTGCAGAATGGTTAATTAACCTGTCAGTATTATAGGCTGATAGTCCTGCAGCTTGCAGTTCTTAAGCTGACAAGACAAATTATTATGCCTTGCTGAATAAGTATTTTGTATCTTGTTTTTCTAAAAGTATATTGACTAAAAGTGTACTAAAATAATGAAGGGAAGGACAAGGATCAAAGGGTCAAGTACGAGGACGATAAAGAGGATCCAAGATGGACATCTGGAGGGACTCACACACTAGGCCTCAAGGACGAAGGACTAATTAAAACTATGGATAAAAAAGTACCTGGCAACTGAAGCGGGCCTGCAAAAGAACCAACCAGAACCAGACCTGCGAACTTGGATCCAATAGAGAGATAACAAGTGACTATGGGAGGGGAATTGATAAGGGTATAAAGGTTACTGTTTTTGCCCACTGCAGTTGCAGGCCGTGAGTGGAGCAGGGGTCTCCCCAGCCGCCCAGCGCGCTGTTTTGCTTATTTGCATTTTATGCAAATCTTAAATAAATTTTTGCTGCTATATTTCAGCCTAGTTTCATTTACCTATAACAAGCACTAAAATGCGTGATGTAACTGGTCAGGTTAGAAATAACCAAGGTGATAAGCATAATTCTTGGGTTATGTCTAGCCAGATACAGAAGTCTAAGTGACTTCTTCCAAAAATGGGGAAAAAGGTGTGGGGGAACAAGGCAGAAACAAACCATTAAGGACGTGGCACATTTAACACTGAACAAGTTGACTTGTGAAGTCACTGGAGTATTCTTCCATTAAAAAGAAAAGAGAGAGAGAGAGAGAAACTAAAGAAAGAGATGTAAAGCAAGGTGTCACGACCCAACTACTCGGACCACTGGTAAGAAAGGACAATTTACATTCATTCTCATTCAACTGACTGACATGTCCTGATGATTATGAATGACATTTTGTTAGCCTACAGTATTTACCAGATTACTAGTTCCCAAAATATGGTCATCAGTGTGATCAGTAAGATCCAGATGATTTGTGAAGCCATATCTCTGCAATATTTTCAATTAAAAATTGATCATAGAGCTCATTATGAGACTTGATAAACTGAGCAGTCTGGTAACCTCTAATATCAATAGCCAAGAGTTGAATAAAAGAGAAATTTGACAAATATAAAAAACCCAAACATACAATACAAAAGGGGGATGGTAGGCTAACAGAAGTGGAACAGAAATTTTAATAAAGATGGGCAGAGGACAGAAAAAAAAGGAAAACCATCAAAAAAAGTGGTATTACAGGCTGCAAAGGTAGGAGCACGGGCACAAGTCCAGAAACTTATGCTTTAGGAACTATAATGATGTTTTGTGATGCTAGAATATGACAGCAAAACGTCATTAAAGCAACAATGCAAAATTTGTAGGCTTTACATCCTTTTTTAGAAATAGTTTAGTCTCATGAGGAATACATGAAAGAACAAAGAGATTTGTTATATAGGATTTCAACATGAAATATGGTCACAAATATTCCCTTGTTCCATAGCTGTTAAACAGCTGTTTACTGTATCATCTTTATAGTCAAAAAGGGTATATAATACAGAATAGCAGCCAGTAAAGTTTATGTGGCTAAAGTACAAAAGCCAATCAGTCCTACAAACAGAGATCAAATAATATTCTATATGCACTTCACTACTATAATTATATTTATAATGATATTGTGGTGTAAGGGTTTGTAATATAGCAGTTTCACATTAGGAGAAAAGTAGATCATAGATATTGCCCTACACTAATACAGAGAAAAAAATTAGGCTGCACTATCATTTAAAATATGACTGCAGCATTATTTTCAAAGTATTAGCAAGAATTTTTAACATACATATATTTGAACTATTTTTTCTTATATAGGAGAAAAACAATTTAGAGATTACTTGAAAAGACAACTATTTTTAAATTCCTAGTCTATCACTTCTGCTCAGTTAAGGTCAACATACAGCCCTGCAGGTAAAGTACTCAGCTTCTAAATTATTCTTCAGTCTATTACCTCATGAAAATGAAAGTATAAGCAGTCCTGTAACTCTGAATGCACCATTAGTTCCAGGAATCTTTCATTCTCCATAAATTGCTTTTTCTGGAAGGTAAAATATTTAGAACACCATTGTTCCACAGTTCTCTCACCTGTGGAGACTCCTTGCTCCCTATTTCAAAAATGAACCAACATCTCTAGCACCAGGAGGAGCTTTATTGCGCCAATTCCAAACCCAAGGCTGCCCTTCTTGGAACAGGTTTATCTCATCACAACTATCACAACAGTCTGGCTCACAGAAATGATAAAACAAAAGACTCACAACACCTCTCATCTTCAAGTATCACATTAAGTGGTAATTTCAACAATAAAAGTTGTATGCGTGCAGTTAGTATGAGCCAAAGCTCAGGAACTCAGTCCATACTTTGATGGAACAACTGTTGTAGTATTAGTTCTATGATTCTGCACAAGTAACTAGGGTGAGGAGGGAAGGGAAAAAAATTTTAAAAAACCAAACTCACACTTAGTGCTTCCCCAAATAGCTTTAAGGATAAATTAAATTAAACTTCTTTCATTCACGGGTGTATTATAGCCCTTATTGTCTCTACAGCCTCAGTGGCAAGTGTGAAACAGGGACAGAGAGACTTAGTTGAAAAGCTGTATCTTATGTGGGAGCGTGTTTCAATGAAGTACATCTTCTAAACATCAGCTGACAACCTTCCCCAGGTTATCTCAACACACAGGCAGTCAGGGCAACTTTTCACAAACCAGCGCATTCCAGATCTCAGTGGCCAAATCTTTGGCTAGAGGTGCCAACATAGCTTCACTGAACTTGACACAGATTCCTGATGCAAGTCAAGTATCTGCCACCACGGATGTCAGTTTGAACCTTCCATAGCAAAACACGTCCTCATCTACCTTCTCATTCCTAGCTGGTGCTTAGCAACTTGTAATAGCAATCCTGGCAAGTTGTGTATGTGTGTGTGTGCACCTGTATAACAGAGATCAGCAGTCGAACTTATTCCTCCCTTTACAAACTTACCAGCATGAAAGACTGTGAGACATTTCCCTCTGTCATCTTATGGAAAAAGACATAGCTGCAACTCCCCCATCTCATTAGCATTGTAAAATTAGTTTTCCTGTTTTGATGAATCCACTGGCAGATGGATTTGGAACCTGCATTTTAATGTCAAATACCATGAAAAAACCCTTCCGTTAATGCACAGAGGACCTGAATTTAAAAAGTTATGGCAGTAATTTCAAAATTTGTTTAATTAAAGAGACTCTCGAATTGCCATGATCATTTTAAAAAACCTATGTAGACCATCTTAAAAGAATTCACACAGATGATGACTAAAGAACAGTGGAGTTTGTATATCCATTTGTTTTAATTTTTTTCTAAGTGTTAGATATCTAGTCTGTGTATAATTTCATCAATTGGGCAAGGAACATACTAAATTCTTCCCCAAAAGGGTCAAGTTACTGCAGAGAAGAGTCCACTATAAAGTAATTATTGTAGCTTCATTATAACAATTGAAAATTTAAAGACATTTCTTCTCACCTCAATGGTGGGTGGATCCTTTCTTTTTCTTCTTATCCATGCTGAAAAAAAAATCAAATTGATTATTTCAGAGATTGCAGAATATTAAAACTCAAACTTATGACAAATTTGTAGCAGAAAATAAACTGTTATGAAAAAATTACAATAAAATTTGACACAACCTGGCAAACCATGTCATTTCCCAAAATGTAGACAGAAGATGTTATTTCCTGTGTCAATACTCTCAGTCTTCAAAGAAGAAGGGTGGGCGGAATGGTGTCACCTCTGTGTGGAGAGCTTGGACACAGTTTACATACCACCTTGGCTGTCAAAACAAGGCTTAAAAAGCAGGGCTCATTGCACAGGCCTGTTGTTGAGATTCACCCTGAAAATGACAAGCTGACTGTTGAAAAGTATGTACAGCCTTAAACCACTCTGGAGAAATGGACTCTTGTATATGCTTCTGGCATTCTTAAAGCCAAAAACCTTTTTATGTTAGTGCCAACTAGAATTCCTTTATAGGCATGAAAGGCACAGCCCCAAACCTGACTGAGGGGCTGCAGAGCCTGGACTGCAGTACGTCCTGCGACTGTGTGGGATTACCCACTGCACAGAGGGGCAGGTACTGTGACTGAGGGAAAGATCCCTCCATCTCAGTCAATTAATGCTGGAAAAGATAGAAGAGGAATGGAGTCAGTGGCAATGACAATTGTCCTGTGGCTCAGCCTTTCCGAAGAAAAACCAATGGACATATGCCCACTCCCATCACTACCACTGATGTCAGCTGGGACTGACAGGAGGCAGCAAACCAGAGACCCTCCTGCAGGCTCCGTCAGGTCTCACTTTATTCAGTTTATGACTATATGAAATAGCTTCAACTATTACTGGCATTATTTAGAGAAATTACCTGATTTGAACAAGATAATATTCATCACTCTTTAGAAATATCACTACTGTCGCATTTTTTCATGCCTTTTCAATCTACACAATTGGCAGGTTCTGGGGTGGAAATTTCAGTGATGTTTGTCTTTTCTGGTCATATTTTTCAGATTAATGAGTAGCAGAATATAAGTGGCCAATAATAAAGAGAATGATAAACATAAGGAAAGCCAGTTCCAGGTGCTGAGATATGGCAAAATGTTATTTCATCTGTTTGTTTGGATAATTAAGATTTTTGTTACTGTGCTTGAAAATTAGAGCAAAAATTACACTTTGTTATCACCCAATCAAATTTCTGGCCTCACCTGTAGCCACCTATAAAGTTTCAGAAACACTTTAAGAGGGAACTATTCCAAATTTTAATTTTCTAATACCATCTGTGCTATATTTTGAGGGGAACCAGGGAATGAGTCAGACAAGTCAAAAAACATTAAAACTTGCACAGAGCCATAACATCACCTTGTTACTGAAAATGCAATTACATAAAAGGTGAAACACTAACACCACTCTGCTTCAGCAGCAGTATGAAACTGGTTTTAGGAGGAATAGCTTCCAATTAACATAATACCAATTTAAGAGAGACGAAATGGCATGACATAGCTTGGAATTTAGCCATGATGACAAGGCCAACACCCTTGATTAATGGTAAAGGTTAATGTTAAAATACCTGTAATGATATGAAGCAAGGTATTATTTTTGGTTCTTGTCTATCAGTTGATGCTTCCTGAAGATGTGTACTTTTAAATAACATTCTCAAGCTACTTTCCTTTAAAGCAGTCCCTGCCAGCTCTTCTCAGAGGTCCTAACAAAAAAGAGACCCAAATTTGCCATTGTGGGGAAGTAACTCAGCTCTGAACAGACTACATCACCCTTTCCGCAAAAGTTCTATGTTAAAGGAATGAAAACCAGCCCATTAAGGTAATTCAAAATAAAACTAAGTGCCTTTCTATTCAATCTATAGAACTAGAGGACATTTTGCATGTACCTGTAGCTCTTTCAAACATTTATATTCTCCAAGGATTTCAAAATGCAAAATCTGGCAAAATCAGAGACTAAACTGAGACTGCCACTTCTCAGCAGATACTCTTGCAGACACTCTTTGTAAAAATAAAGAACAGTGCTATTGGAGAAAATCTTAGCACATAAGATTTTCCTTCTGACAGAACTTTACTTTGTCCATACTCAGCAACAGTTCCAGCATCATCCAGAAAAGCAAGAAAGTAGTAGAGATTTCAAGTAGACACTAATCAATAAAAGATAGAGCTGGAGGAAAAAAAAAGGAAAAGTTGTAGTTTAAAATGTTTCATAAAAAATTATGTGTTAAAGCATCAAAATTGAACAGATTACTTCCAACAAAGTATTATCTTCTACCTTGCCATGCCTTGCTTCTGACCTATGGAAGGACAGTACCACTGTTTTCAGTCCCACAGCTCTTAGCACATAAAAATATATTTTTTAAAGTTGCCAGTATTTTCTTAAAACACCAGCTGCATTTTAACTTCACCTGATTACAATTACTGAGCATTAAAGAAAAAATTTAAAATCCTACAAAAATTAAGCTGCAGTTAGAAACTACTGCTGAAATATAACCCTTACAATAGATTTTCTTTCAATAGAAGCTGTGACTTTTAGTAGTTATTTGATTAATGATTTTCAGATGAATGGAATACTTCTAGCAAAAGATTTTATCATTTGCTTATCTACCTCAGTTCAACAAGCCGCAAACAGAACAGTGAAGGGTAACACAATGACACACCTCCTGTGAACAGAAGCTGTGAAGCAAGGAGCATTACACAACACATTTTAAGTCATTAATAGTTCTCAATTAGTACCAACACTCAAAAGCAACAAAATAAACTATATATTTAGGAAGATTTCTTGTATCAAACATTCTATAATCAGACTGCATCTATTTAAATACATAAATAATGCACACAGTTTAATATTGTGCTATTTTTTCTTTCCAGTTATAGCAAACACTTGAATGCACAGTTTTGTAGAAGCTATCAACCTTCCTTTTTTCTAATAAATGTCAGGAGTACAAATATTTTTCAGTCTAACTGTAAATAAAACTTGATGGCACAAATATTGATACCATTTCCCAAATTACTAGAGGTAAATTAATTTTAACATCTTTAATGAACTGCATTAGAAAAATCATTATTTAATGAAAGATTTCTTCACTGCAACATAGCTGAGGGAGAAACACAGTAAGAAAACTTACTAAAATCTTTTTATACCCATAAAATCAAGCTAATTAGTTTTAATATATCATATTCCTCTGTGCAAATATATCACACAAATATTCTACATAAAGCACAGCTCAAGATACATTACAAGATTAAAAGCAAAGAAAACATCATCTGAATTCAGTACATTTTAATATACTGAACTTTAGCATGTAAAAGTTTTATCAGTCTTTCAAAAGCAATATATTTTACTAATAATTCACCTGACCATTCCTCGATCTTTGGGAAGCAGAATAGGAGGACTCTAATATATTCAATCTCCACCAGGTTTCAGGTGGTTCTCTTTCAGACAGAAAAAAATTAAAAAGCCATTCAAATTTTTAAGTTATCAATAAAATTTTGAGCACCCAAGACATGGTTCAAAAAAGCACCAACACCACATAGCTCAGGCATAAGAGAAATTCATGATAACAAAGGAAGAATGAATGTATACAAAAATATAACCAGCCATTTACTACTGAGGTTGCACTAGCTTTAACAAAATCCAAGTAAATGATACATTGAAATTAAGACATTTTGCATTCTCTTTGGAAAACATAGTCAGCGTATACACTTGAGTAATGAAAAAGCTCTCACATCTTTTTTTACAACTTTCATTATATTTTTGGTCATGCAGGTTTAAATTACTGAACAGATTTATACCACAGTCAAATATTTGTTGATGGAAACAAGGTAGGTAGGTAGGTGCTTTATTATGTATTATTTGGGTAAAATATGCACACATGCATATACTTAACAGACAAATATCCAGTGACAGTTATAGCTGGAAAAAATTTCCACATGAACACTCCCATTCCCCAAGCTAACAAAACAAAATGCCTTCACCATTGACAGTCAAGATGTTTTAAACCTGATAGAGAAGGTAACCTGTGCATACTGAGTGCAACCAAAGTGCTTCCCTGCACTGCAAAGCTTTGGCAAAATGATTCATTGACTCCATTTAAAAATGCTGTTTCTAATTTTATCTGGATGGTACTTCCTGTATTCTGTATGCATTTTAATGCTACCTTTGTCTAGAAGGAATTTTGCAAGACAGCTGGACATTTCCTGCCTCAACACCTTTGCATTCTTTCATCAGCAATCATTTGCATTCCTATTAGTATGCATGAGATTTTCATTGAACTTTAAGACTCCTACTGGCAGAAAACACACTGTAATGACCGTGAAAGTGAACATGCAAATTAAGACTCCCATTAATCACTAAATATTACCAGAAAAAAAAAAGAGTTACTAGGAGTAGATGGCAAAAAATGCTGCATGAAGCATGCAATCTCATGAATCTCTGTAGTATGTAAAACTCTCCTCTCAGAAGCACTATTGACATGTCCTGAGGAGGTAAATTACACATTCTACAGTGGGTGAACATTCAGAACTAGCATACAGAACAGTTATCTATTGTGTGCATCCATACATGCCTAGGGAAAAGTAGGCACTTCCACTTCGTAGTAAAATGTAGACTTCGCCTGAACAAAAACAGGCAATATTTATATTATATACATATGGATTGTGTTCTAAATTCAAAACTATAGTACAAAAGTGTAGCACTAAATCTGATGAGAAACTTGTTTAAACATGTCTTAAAATGGCCTTTTGTGGTCTCTTTGCAAACACGTGTTTCTTCTTCCCAGCACCCCCCAGGACAGGTTATCTCCCATGCAGGAATGTCCTGGGAAAGGTGTCCTGAGGTGTTTCCCATTGGACCTTGTTAACCCCATCCTGTGATTGGGTGTTCCTGTAAGCCCCTTGGAGACTTCTAATTGGTTACTCTGTGAATCCCCCTAAACCCTATAAATGTAACACCCCCAACAATAAACTCTCTCTTGCCTCCTCTCCACGCCGGTGTGCTGTCTCTGTGCCTGCCATGGGGCCACGTG